GCCGCCGTACCTGAGCCGCCTGCTGACAGGGTCCATCTTCCAGGAACCGGGCGATGAGGAAGTAGAGCTCTGCGCGGGAGAGGGGGACGGGGAGACACACAGGCTTAGCGGCCGGGCGGCGGGGGGCGGGGGACCGCGGGCGGAATCGCCCGGTGCCAGCGGCCCCAGCAGCCCCCCGACTTACCCGATCGCAGCTCCGAGAGGCCTTTCCTCTCACAAGACATGTTTATGGGTCACTTCAGGGCCGCCGGCGGGACACCCCGCCGCCGAGGGGAAGCGGGGATGGTGCCGCCGCCTGCCCTATAGCTGTCACTGTGTGTTCACGAGCCCAGCCTCGGCTCCACCATTCAAGCAACGGCGGCGGAGGCGGAGGAGGAGGAGGAGGAAACAACAACTCTCAGGCAGCGGCTACGGCCGCCGCCGCCTCCGCCGCGGATCCCTCCGCCGCAGAAAGGAGTCCGCCGCCTTCGCGGCCCGGGCTTGGCCCCGTCCTCGGCCCGCGCCCCCGCCCCCCGGCGCAAAAAAGGAGTGCCTTCGACCCCGAGCCCCAGGGCCCCCACACCCAGTGTGGCGAGACCCCTGCGCCCTCCTCCCCGGCTAAAGGTGCGATTTATTTATTTATTTCCAGTCGGAGAAGATGTCGGAGCCGGAGCCGCCGGTTGGCTGAAAGGCGCTTTCTCTGTGGAGGCCGACCGCGGGAGGGAGGGGGCCGGGGACGGCTCCGCGGAGGGATCTGACGCACACGAAGCCGCAGCACAGGCTCTATTCAGCGGCGCTGGCTGGGGCTGAGATGGAAGTTAGTTTCTATGTAGCAGAAATGGGAAACAAATGAAGCAAGACTGCCCAAAGAGGGGAAATGCCTCGAGGATGGGTCTCACTCACACGCGCGCACACAGACACACACGCAGAGCCCTCTCGCGCCGGGCAAACTCGGGATCGCGCTACCCGGCCCGAGTTGAATGATAGTGTTTGGTTTCTGTCTCTTGCCATGTGCATGTGTATAAATGCTGCGGATTGGCATCTGTGTAAGTCTTGTCCTGCGTTATTTCTGCAGCCTATGCAAAGTGTTGTGTAATTTATTGGAGTGCCGTATATTGCAATAGAGGTTCGGCTCTTTTTGTTAAGCACTTGGCGTTTGCAAGCCCGTTATTTGCTGAAGCCACCTCTGCATATATCTTTTATTATTGCCATTGCCTTAAGCATTTTACATTTAAAGATGTTTTTTTATTGTTGTACGGGCAAAGCGAACTCCTGATCTGTACTTCAGATACTCTTTTTCCTGGTTACAAAAGGGCTAGTGATGGCTAATTAGGGATTTGGGATTAAAGAACCTTAAAGCTTTTTGAAGTGTTTACAAGAAGGAATAACGTAAACCTGAGAGAAAGGAAAGAACGCTAATATTTATCTCTAACTGATCTGGAGGTAATTTACTGACAGATCAATAACCCACCGAGGGATATTGAAAGAGTATACTACAGTTTAGCCAAGGTGATTAGTGATTAAATAATTTAAATTATCTGTGTATCTTACAGTTGACTTCGTCATGCTAATTAATGGCTTCTAATTTGAGGTGTAAACCATTCTTGTTTACAGTTAATCACGGGAAGACTTATTGAAAACTGACGAAAAGAGAAAAAATTAATCTTTCGTAAATTAGTATGTAATTACCGGTTTTATATGCTAAATCATACATCTGTGTTTTGCTGATGAGGGTAAGGGCCTTGTTTTTTAAAAAACGAATATGGGTGAAATTAATGGAAACAATGGAAAAAGCCGTTTGTTAGAAAACAAGGACACCAAGTGATATTTATCTCCAGATGATTTAAGCACTTTTCAAAAAGACTTGATAGTTGATTTTTTTTTTAAGGATTGCATTTTAAAAGGAATTAGGATAGTCGTTCTTTGTTAACATTTAACAAAAGATTCTCCTTTAAAATTTTAGATAATAAACTGCATTTTATGTATCTGGTCTAAAAAGGTTATTTGTGGGTAAAGGACCAACAAGCTGTATTATGGCTTTCTAGATTGTTTCCTCAAGCCTTGTTCCCTCCTAGCTCCTTACATTACTAGTGAGAAATACTTGCTGCAGCTGCCTCGGGTTGCACTGCAAGACTGCACCGGTGTGATGCCCTATACTAAATATCCAGAAATCATCCTACATGTGAGGGAAAAAAAAAAAAAAAAAGCCTAAACCTCTTTGGAATGATAGGATGTAAAAATTGCCTTTTAGAACAATCTTACTCACAATAAAAAAGAGAAGTTACCATGACTTGTCCTATTGGAGCCTGGTTATCAGAGTACTGTTATTTATTGAAATGGCTATCCTTCAAATACTGAAAATATTTGCATTTTTAAAGACATTTATTCCATTCTATCTATTATAGGTAAGTAGCTTGCTTCTGGATAGTTAGGTTTGAAGGGCAGACATTTAATATGCCTTTTTGCAATTCTCTTTATTTCTGTGACTGCTGCTTTCTATTTTGACTTTTAAAAAAGTCTTATATTCTTCAAATAATTGTGGTATTTTACATTATCATGATGTTCTTCATATAAACAGATTATAGGAACTAAAAATTATAGTAATAATCTTGTGGTTTTGAAATATTTGGATTAGTCTGATTCTTACTAATAGATGTTTTATCCTTGCAAAGGAAAATAAACCAAATTATGACATGGAATATAAAATTACTCTGGGTAAAGTTTTCCATATATGTCTTGTGAGTGTTATGTAAACATGGAAAACTAGTATGATTATCTCATGTATGCTTTTCATTTAGAAGCCACGAAAACTTTTCCAAAGTTGATAGCAGTACTTAGCTACTAAAAAATTTTTAAGGAAAATTTCCCTTCTGAGTTTTCTGAATATAATGCTCTTGTCATTTTGACTAACCTTTGTCAATGTTTAGAGTTTCTTTTTCAAAGACCTAATTTGAAGATAGTTGTAACTTTGCCTTTGAATTAATTTATTACTATCAATCCTCTATAAGAAAATGTAGGTTACTGGCTAAAAATTAAAACTTCTCTTCAACCAAATAAAGTATTTGTTTTTAACAATAGATGTTAATTGAACTTTTCTGAGTCCTTCAAATGTAACAAATAAAATACTCCCTTATATGATTTTAATTTCTTTAAACATGAAACACATTTCTGGATTCTGACATCATCAATTAACTATAAGGTTTATATTAAGTCATTTATTGTGCATATGTATGCAGAAAGTCTGTACATACTGAATAGAAAGAAAATTTTACCTTGAAGCCTATATTTTAGTTCCCAAGGCCATGGCACTTGTAGTTCTTTTCTCAGTGTTAACTCTTTCGCATATAAGGATAGCTCAGATTCCATCTATACCCCTTTTTGTTTGATTATTTTAACTTTTTCATGGACTTCAAAAATAAAATGTCAATTTAAAAAGATTTCCATGCCTTTTATATAACAAGGCTAACAACAGTAAAGGTTTGAAAAGCTAACAACAAATATTTTTATATAATATAGTCTCTTTAGGGGAATTACAAACTTTTCTTGAAATGTAAAAGTTTCTGTAAAATTCACTTCTTTTCACTCGGCATCACATGAAACAAGGTTAACACTTAACAAAAAGTTTGTCTTGATCCTGATAAGCTATTATTCCAATGAAATAATCAAATGCTGCCATTTAAGTCCTTCCTGGAACAAGATGGGATAATATTTATAAATGAAAAGATCTGACTACATTTATGAAATTTGTTTTCTCTCCACTAGGATGATGAAATAATATATAACTCCAAAAAAACCTCTGCAAATACAACTTTTAAAACTATATATTAAGTCTTGTTTTTATTTTGGTATTATTCTTTTTATTTTTTATAGCAAAAACTTTATCCTCTAAAGTGTAGAAATGGAAAAGTAGAAAGCACTCTTCTTCAAAAAATACCTTTTTTAAAAAAATAATCTGCCCTAATGACAAAATACAGCTATCAAAAGAGTCTTGTTTAACACACCCCACTCCTCCTTCTGGTTTGCCCCCCAATATTGTATGTTTCTGTCCATGTCTATTTGACTTTCTCTCTACACAGACATTCTTCTTCCTTCACAAAGCTTGAATGTATATCAAATTTGAAACATACGAGCAGATATACTGTTTGGCTGCTACAGAAACAATAAAGATAACCAGCTTCAGTAAGCCAACCCATTATTTAACAATTTGTATTGTCTCCCTTATATCTCACTGAGAAAAATTTTACTTATGTTAGAGCATGATTCCTTTTTAATCTGTAGCGAAGATTAGCTGGTTACCAACAATTGTATAATTCCTTACTTATTTGAATGTTATTAGTAATTCACTACTCAACCTTTTTCCTCCACATTAAATAATCCTAGTAGCTTAGATTTTTTTTATATTTAAGTCTTAGTGTGCACAAGAAATACATAGCTTCATGGACTTATTTATATTTTTAACATCAGTTCATGAGTTAACAGTACAATTACGAAGATTGAAGAAGAAAAGCAATTTTAGAACATATTCCCACAAAATTTGGAGCAGCACAGTGGATAAAGTAGAAAAAGCTGTTCCAGATGGGAGGAAACTTAAAGGAGAAGTCTGTAGGCATGTTCTATCATGTGCAGATGTCTGATGGATCAAGAGTGGGCTGGACTGAACACAGAACAGTGGAAAAGAGAAGGTAGATTGGGGAAGAGATGCAGAGGCTTTGCAAGTTGCTAGTGGTGGTGTCTCGGATGATGCATACAATTATCAGTGTGATTTAAAGATGGGATTTGAGGACAAGAGTTAACTAGTCACTTGCCTTTACATATGTCTGAATTCATAAACTTTGAAAACCCCAAGAAGAAAAATTATTTTATTCATGGAAAGAAAAGGGAGAGATTTATATGACAAGTTAGTGAGGAATCTCTACATAATAAAAATACTCAGAATCAAGGACACACAGTAGACACTGTTGGTGAAGAAGAATGGTTGTTTAAAGAGTAAGATCTGACTGACATAATGCCCACAAGTCTGACTTGAGACTCAACTATGAGAGTAAGATGTATATGAAAGTAAGATCCAACTCAAAATTGAGAATGAAGCCAATTTAGATTTAAACTGACTTTGTAATAAAGTGTTTCCATTTTCTGAATTCCTACAGAAAATTCTAATTATGCCACCTTACTTGTAAATTGCTTTTATTTTTCTTCTGGTGTATATATACTTGGCAAAGATCTCCTTAACTTATGCTTCTGTTATTTTATTCTCTTTGATGGGTATACTTATATATGTTGAAATAGTGATTAGCCCAAAGAATGCATTCTATTATACAGTTATAAAATTTAAAATAATATTGATAACAAGTAGATCTTTCAACTGAGATGTGTGTGTTCAAAATTTAAGAAAAGCTTGTAATTTGCTTTTGAGATTACACCTACAAATCCCATTGCATTCATAGTTTTCATGCATACATTTGAGCACATAAAAATATGGGTGCAGATGAAATGGTTATAGTAGGGGCACCTGGGCGGCTCAGTCATTAAGTGTCTGCCTTCGGCTCAGGTCATGGTCCCAGGGTCTGAGATCGAGCCCCTCATCAGGCTCCCTGCTCCGCGAGAAGCCTGCTTCTCCCTCCCCCCCACCCCGCTTGTGTTTCCTCTCTTGCTGTGTCTCTCTCTCTCTGTCAAATAAATAAATAAAATATTTTTTTAAAAATGGTTACAGTCGGTTTTTTAATGCACATAAAAACTTACTAGATGACAATGATTTATAGAAAAACTAATATAGCCTTTAAATTGAATCTCCTTGTAAGCACATATGTGTTATTTTTCTCTCAACAGTTATCAGAAGTGATTTTACTGAACATCATTAGGGAACATTTTTCTTAAGAATATTGAGTAAGTCATGGGGCGCCTGGGTGGCTCAGTCGGTTAAGCGTCTGCTTTCGGCTCAGGCCATGGTCCCAGGGTCCTGGGATCGAGTCCTGCATCGGGCTCCTTGCTCTGCGGGAAGCCTGCTTCTCCCTCTCCCTCTGCTGTTCCCCGTGCTTGTGTTCCCTCTCTCTCTCTCTGTCAAATAAATAAATAAAATCTTTAAAAAAAAAAAAAGAATATTGAGTAAGTCACATCATATGAGAAAGAAGAAATATATTGCCTTTTAAAATGTCTTGACATCCTTACCTCTCCCGTATGCACACGTTATACTTCATGCTTATTTTTGTCATTCAGTGTTTTGGGTTTTTTGGTAAGTATATGTATAAGATTTCCATCTTTCCCTGATAGCCCCACATTTTCAGTTTTTACAGTGTCTCTATAAAATTTTCTTTCTCTTCCATCACTGAAACTTTAGTTTCCAATGGTAAACCAAACATAAGAATTAAGATATGTAATTAATGTGCATATATCCTAAGAGCTCTAAAAATATAAAGAGGATCTATTCTTTGCTTCTTATAGTTGAGAGTGTCACACATTAAAATCTTCAAGAGCTCTTATTTTCAGCTCTTCTGATTATTTACACGAAAGACTAGAGAAATAATTTACACAACTGCTGTGAAAAGGAAGAAAAAAAGCCTTCCTGTAGTTTTCCATAAGAAAAGAATCAGGTACTAAGCAACATGCATTTTCTGTTTGGGAAGTATATATTTGTATTTTTGTATTCCCCAATTTTTATTTCAGCATTTTTGCCAAAGTCAAGATAAATGTGACCTCTTTAGATATTAGATTTTGCTGAGTTAGAGGAATTACAGATATTTTAGAAGCTATTCTTTGGGTAATTAATGTATCTTTCAGACTCTTGTTTGTAAAGTTTCCCAATAGTGGCTGAAGAGAACTTATATTCTCAAACCACTCTGTGATCACTATTGCTTAACTTAACCTCTTTGAGATATTTAGTATGGGAAACGTACTTCATTTGCAGAGCCAGGTCGCATCATGCCTAAAATTTTTTTAAAGGAATCTTTGATGGACTCACAATGGAAAATTTCCATGGCAAAATAGTAAGATATTTTTTCCTAATGCCTATTAACCTAGCATTCTTCTATTAGGATAATAATTACAAAGGTCATTTTCCCTTTCAATCAGCCAGTTTCTCATGTGGCTTCTGATTTTTTTCCTTTTCATTATTGAGACTTTTGATGGAAACTTGTAAGTGTTAAACAGAAAAATAAGTAAGAACTTCTATCACAACTTGTGGTGACCTGTACCACTTCTGTGAAGCTGTGTTTCTTTTTCTTGGGCAAAACTGTATGAGTTGATATAAGGACCAAAAGTCAACCTTTAATATCTGTCCCTCATCTCCATATGCCATTCCTACTTCTATGGTGTCCTTTTTGTAACATGCTTACTCTTTCTCTGTGCATCAGCTGAAGAACCATCATTTAAACGCGGGCTTGCAGTTTGACCCTCATTATTGTGTACTGTAGTATAGGGCATGGAGATAGGCTGATTGTAGATATGACAGCTAATGTGAAGAGGCTGAGACACCCCACCCTCCCCCCTGCAAAGGCTGCATCTGGAAGGAAAAAGTTTTCAGTGATAGGCTAGTCAGTCTCCAGAAATTGTCAATTATTAAAACATGATTTTACTCAGCAGCAATACCTCAATTTATTGAA